AAGCATTGGGTGTATCAAACAGCTGGCATTGGGCTTGTGGCTGTATGTATGCAATTTCATTTGGGACCAAAGGCGACTGCATAGATGCAACACCTGGGCATAAGAGATTGGTATCCTGACTTTGAACAAAATGTATTGCTATTCAACAAGCTGTTGAGCAAATGCGCCAGACAACAACGCAATATGGATGGTGTTTCGTTTGTTTGGCCTCCAAGAGCACGTGGGCACCATGTGAGAGGGAAATTTGCTGGGCAACCAATAATAGAACAGGATATAAATTGACAATAGTCGCAGAATGGTTCCCTATGACCTTGAGAATAAAGATAAACCTTATGATGGGTATAGGCGTCAAGAAGGTCGTACAAAAAACAATTCCAATTAATAATCCAAATCCAAAATTATTAAGCAAATTTATCAATTTATATTGAGTCTAATGGGCACATTATATTTCAAAATAACAATTTTCTCTCCATTTCATAAAATATATTGAAGCAGAAGCCCCAAAAAATGCTACCTTTAAAATAAAAAGAATGCTTATAAATAAGGAAAGATAAAATCGGATCCAGAAAATATTTAAAACATAAAAAAGATTTGTATGAGAAATAAACATACAACAATATAGCTAGATCGCAATCGTAGAAATTATTTCAGATTATAACAAAATCTAAGAATAATATAATAAAAATACATAAAAACCATACCCACATAACTTCGAACTCTCTCATTTTTCGATTAATATAACTTAAAAATATTTTCAAAAAAATAAATAAAAAGCAAACAAACAAATACACATCTAATTTCATATATCACAATTATAATTCCTTATTATATTACTAATAGAAACATGTTTAAAACACTTTTCAATCCAAATAAAATATTTCATTATCTGATATTATTTAGTTCTAAATATTACTATTTAAATATTACGATTAAAAAACCATAGATCTATGTAAAACTCAATTCCAAACAAATAAGAATTAAAATAATCTATCAATAACTAAATCGGAAAATCAACCATATTTATTTTGCAAACCAAATTCAACATATTCCCTAAAGGACTACCTTTCGTAATTTAATTAAATCAAACATATTAATTCGATATTATGAATAAATAACTATCTATATATATTTAGAAGTTAGATTTTCCTTAATTTCCTGATCATTTTTCAATTCTATTTAAAAGATTAACCAAATTTCAAGACATTTTGTATGTATTGCTACCGAAACTTACAAAATATTGAAAACCTTAATTGATGGATCATCTGATTTGGTCTCAATTTGACGCACTGCAGCCCAGGCTGCTTTGCAACAATTTTAATTCTATAATCGGTCATATATTCCATCGATATAGATTTGGATTACATGCCGTATAGGAAGGATCTATAAATGACCCTATACGAATCAATTGAAGTCGAATATGTGCAATTTGATCGGGTTGTTGCGTGGTAAGAGTCAATCAGGCAAAATATGTATAATCAATTCTGATTTCAATAGCACGGACATGATTCGCACGAATATGCGCAAAAATTGCGATATAAACATAGACTAAATTGATCGCAATATTCGCACTCTATGGACTGAATATTGTCCCAAATAACTTTGATTGCGGCAATTTGATACCCCCCGTGATGTTGAAAGAACTGAATTTTTGTTCCCGATTTGACAATTGGTTCATGGATTAGATTGGTATATATACGTCTTTGGGCATAATGGCAATTCCTTTATGATAATACAAATAACCTATAATATAGAAAATGTTGGCTGTTAAGAAGAACGTGTCTAGCAAAAATATCGATTTGTAATTTGTCAAATCTATCATCAAATTTTTGCAAAAATAGTAGCTCTATGATTCCCACGCAGAAATCCATCAATCATCATCTATCAACAAGTCCACAACATCACATCATACATCATCACATCATCTCCTTTATGAGGGGAATCTGGTCTCCAAGACCTCCAATCTCAATGAGTCCTCAATCTCCAGCAATTGGGCCTAGGTCCGGGCTTCTCCCGCGGGGGTGGCGCCAAACAAAAAAAATATTGATTGTCCAATTCCATGAACATTTATCTTGTTTTTTTCGCCCCCCCCCCCGGGAGAAGTCCGGCAGACCCAGTTACTGGAGATTGAGGGCGCATTCTTGGAGACAAGATCCCCCTCATAGAGGTGATGATCTGATGATGTATGATGTGATGCCCTGAATTTATTGATAGATGATGGTTGATGGACATCTGTATGGGAATCATGAAAGCTAGCAACTAATATTTTTGCAACAACTCAATGAGAGATCTGACAGATCAGAACCATGCCAATTGTATCATTGCATATCAGAATACGGAGAAGGAATGGGGGATTCAGGCTCTATGTGGTGAGGGTGGATACCTATATTGTATGGTCTCAATGGTGGAGTGTGGAAGAATGTCTTGATTTTATGGCTTAAGATATCCAATGTATATAGCTAGAGAACATAGGAAAATGGAACTTCCAATGTGGATGAAATGAGATGAAGCATTGGGGATATCAAACAACTGGCATTGGGCTTGTAGCTATATGTATGCAATTTCATTTGGGACAAAAGGCGGTTGCATAAATGCAACACCTAGGCATGAGAGATTAGTACCCTGATTTTAAACAAATTAGATTGCTATACAAGCCATTGAACAAATACGCCAGACAACAACGCAATATGGATAATGCTTCGTTTGTTTGGCCTCCAAGAGCACAAAAACACCATGGGAGAGGGAAATTTATTGGGCAATCAATAATAGAATAGAATATAGATCGGCAATATTCGCAAAAAAATTCCCTATAATCTTAAGAATAAAAATAAATTCTATTATAAATATCAACGTCAAGAAGATCGTTCAAAAATCAATTCCAATTAATAATCAAAATCCAATATTAATAAAGAAATTTATCAATTTATATTAAATTTAATAAACATATTATATTTCAACATATTTATTTTCTTTTCATTTCATAAAAAATATAAAAAGAGAAGCCCCAAAATACTACCTTTAAAATATAGAAAATATTATATATAAATAAAGAAAATAAAAATCGAATCCAACAATTAGTTAACTTATTCAAATCAAATTTATATAGAAAATAGAAATATAATATATTTAGATTGCAATCGTAGAAATTATTTCGCAACACTTTGCGCCCTCCTTTACGCAACAACACCCCCGAGTGTCAAGCACTTATCATCACAAAGACGCACATTCAACACTGCCATCCAACCAATCTCGAAGAATCATATCCAATTATTTAATTTTTAATTATTATAACATAAATATATAAAAAAAACAAAAATATATATATATCCATAATAAATATATATCTAAAATGCTTTTCAATCCAAATAATATATTTCATTAATTTAACTACTTTTAAACATTATTTATCATCTAATGATTGAAATAATCAATATTACGATAAAAAGAATCATAAATCTATGTAAAAATAAATTCCAAACAAATAAGAATTAAATTAATCTATTAATAATTAAATCCGCAAAAACACAACCATATCTATTTCGCAAACCAAATTCAACATATTCCCTAAAAGACTACCTTTCGTAATTTAATCCAATCAAACATATTAATTCAATATTATGAATAAATAATTATCTATATATATTTATAATTTAGATTTTCCTTAATTTCCTGATCATATTTCAATTCTATTTAAAATATTATAGCACAATTCTAATTAACCAAATTTCAACACATTTTGTATGTATTGACACCTAAATTGAGCCAATTCTACCCTAATTAATTGATATACATATATATATATAGTAATTTATATATCTCAATAATGTCTTTAGGCCATTGATGCTTCGAGTTGTTTCTGATGTACAGATTTCAAGAAATCAATCAAGAGCGGATTAACAATTTCCGGAGATTCATCATGGGGGCAATGACCAATACCTGCAACAGTTTAAATGAAACCCAAGGAACCCTTTCGACCACAAGCAGGAATTTTCAAGGAGGCTTTGGAGAAGCTCCCACGCATGGAGTAAATGTCTTTGCAGAACCGAGCCCTTCTGTGTGGATTCACGGAGTCCAGTAACAAATGCTTCTCCAACCCTCGCCTGCCTGGAAGCACATCAACACGTTGGACAGGTGGATATTGATCCAGTGCGCGCACTCGGTCCAGTGGCGTCCAAGGGTCCTTCTCACCCAAACACACCTCGGTCACGCTAGTGGCTCTAATCAAATTAATTTTTAGGGCTCAAATGATGGAAACACGTGAAGCTAATCAACACATACTTCACTTGCAGCTTCGTAACCCACACTGGAAGCTTGGATAGGCCTGGATCTGCCAAAAGCCTGAGTTGGTCATGCTAACACCACCAAAGGCTTCCAACTTCCAACTTCTAACAAACAAGCATCAAGCAAATGTCTGTATTGACCACAAAGAACGGGTTTTCTCAAGTTTCCTCCACAAAGCTTGCCACCAAAACACTGCTCTGGCAAAGGCCCAGCAGAATATGACAAAGTATCGAAGACCACAGTCGCCGAACCTTCGTGCATATTTTGATCTGGTGGTAAAGTTGTTTTTTCTCTCCGCGGGTACTGCTGGTGACAAATTGAGTTTGCCGTTTGATGCCTTTGATGAGCAAGGGCGTGAGGAGCACGTCCACCAACTCATCGGTCACCGTCTCCGGATCGTGGTATGGCTCCTGCAAGGTTTTTTTTTCTGCCATTTCTCAAGGGATAAGGTTGGCACAGTGCCTGTTGAATAAGACTGAATAAGTTTTGTTCACTGATGCGCAGCCTGCACCTGCCGCCTCGAGACAATCTCTTTATACCTCAACGACCTTTCTATTGCCCAATATCCACAGCAAAAGCACAAAGGAAGAACACATAAATAAAGGAACAGGCCGTGTCTGTTTCTTAATATCGCCGTTTCAGACATGGCCCGGATGTTTGACTGGACATCTTGAAAAACACCAGCCCAATCAAGCCGTCTGTTTGGAGCCCAAGCGGGCCGTTTACGGTGGCCCCAAACGGGCGCCCCGCTCCTTCAGGATCTGCTTCACCGTGTCAGGCTTGGCCAGGAAATCGAACAACGGCTGCCCATTGTCGCGAAGCCAGCCCTGGATGGCAGAGACCTCCCAATGAGTCAATATGAATGAGTCAATGGGATGTCAGAGTTTCTGTCGCGATGGTTTGAAATACCTGGAATCTGGATGAATCTTGTGTGCTTTTCATCAAACTTACCACTCTCCATATTGGCAAAATGCGCGAAGGAAGTTTCTTTACAGGCCGATTGCTCATCTGTATCATATTCAAGATTCAAGTATGTAGGACTTCAGCCAAAGGCATCCAAAGACTAGCTGCGGAAATGATAGAGCTCTGAGTAGCAGACCAGCGGATTGATCAATGGCGGTTGCTCTGCCACGTGCAACTCCTGAGCTGAGGAGAGCGAAGAAGGGGTGTCACCTACGCCGCAACGAAACGCATGAGAGATCTTTCTATAGATTTCTACACTGCACATGGTGGTTGAAGCTGGTTGATCTAAATACCTTCTTACGGAAACGCCATTCTTCGCAAAAGATCTTTACTTTCGCGAATCTTTCGCGAACTCCATGTTTACCTTTCGCGGGGGCTGTTCTCCATGGTTTGGTTGTTTCCACATACCAATCTCTCGCAGATCTTTCGAAACATCTTTACTTTTGCGAACTCGAAAAACAACTTTTGCGAACAACATAGAAGGGATCTCAATGAACCTAGGCCTAATGTCGACCTTTTGATCAACTACTACATCTGCAAGCAAGCTGGCCAAGAGTCCCGGAAGTTTGGATTGAGAATCATCAAGCCGCTAAAGAGATCTTGCTCGTCCAGAGCAGCCTGCAAACCTCCAAGCGTCAAAGGATATGTGAAATGATATCACAACTGCTGTGACCAGGATTGGGGGTTGGGCCGCTGGTGGATTGACACAGCGGAACTTTGACAAGATTATTGTGCTGGCAGGATACCAAAAAAGTTGTGCTTCGACATGGTTAGAGCCGGATTCGGAAACTAATCGGTCGGATTCTGAAACTAGGGTTCTGAATCTGGGGTTCTGAAACTAGGGTTTTGAAACTTGGATTCTGAAACTGGTATTCTGAAACTGGGGTTCTGAAACTAGGATTCTGAAACTGGGGTTCTGAAACTAGGATTCTGAAACTGGGATTCTGAAACTTGTATTCTGAAACTGGAAAGTCAGATTCTGCAACTGGTATTCTGAAACTGGAAAGTCAGATTCTGCAACTGGTATTCTGAAACTGGAAAGTCAGATTCTGCAACTTGCCTTCTGAAACTTGCAACTGGTGATCTCCACATCATGCGATAGCGTGTGTGCCTGTGACATCACCTTCGAAGCACATCCAAACCAACGTCATGAGCCCCCCACCCAACCCCCCCCACCCCCCAACACCCCCTGTCCCCATCGTGTCCCTCATCATTCACAAAGTTGCGGAATCCTAGTGAGGGAGTCCACAATGTTGCGGAATCCTAGTTGCGGAATCTTGACAGTTGCGGAATCCTAGTTTCGGAATCCTAGTTGCGGAATCCTAGTTGCGGAATTCTAGTTGCGGAATCCTAGTTGCGGAATCCTAGTTTCGGAATCCCAGTTGCGGAATCCCAGTTGCGGAATCCGACCAAACAGTTGCGGAATCCTAGTTGCGGAATCCTGCGCAGTTGCGGAACTCGACTTTATCCGCTTCGACATCATCCATACACACTTCACACGTTTTGAAGCACATCTTCACCGGGTCAAAACCAACCTGTATAGTGGGTACTGTATGATATTCTGTTGTCTCTTTGGAGAGATCTTCACGCTGCAAGTGCGCAGCCTGAAATCGAGCCGATGGAATTGGCCACCAGAGCCACACCTGGGCGCACGCCATCATGGCTCTTAGGAACACACTGAATGACAGGAGTAAACCTTGGGGGACAATGGATTACTTGGTTGAGTTGAACTCAACCAGTTACTCCAGGAAAGGAATCAGAACTGAATGAATCTGGGCTTGGACAAGTCACCCTTTGGGCCGGCTTGAATGATCTCCCGCGCAAAGTCTCGAATCTCTTCACTCCAAGTGTAGAAATTGTAGACCTGAGCTTGTCCGTTCTTAGCAAGAGCCTTTTTTGTGGTTTTGTCTCATCAGTATGAACGCTGTCGATTGGTTTCCTCTATATAGGCTCTGCAAAGGAATTTTCAATACATTCCAAAGCAAGCATATAATATCTTCACCAACACGGCCAACACGTTCACGATTCGCTGAGAGGCTGATCCCAATGGATGCTCCAAGGGCACCTCGACGTCTCTTCGCTCTCCACCCCAGGCAGTGCCCAAGTTGGCTTTCGGGGAGCCCAACCTGCACGGGACCAACAATCAGTCAGCGACCCGGTTCAACGGGTCCTCAACACCGCAAGTTTGGGCAATTTCTAGAGCAAAAAAACAAACTCAAACTTACACTTTCACTCAGTTTATAAAACCCAAGATGAACTCCTGACGCACTGGGTTACTATACGCTATCCAACATTCCATGAGAGGTGGACACCAAATGCCGCCGTTCACCTGCGGCCCTTCTCTCCGTTGATGGCACGAGCTTCTTCACCATAGGGGTCTGGTTTGGAGCCTCAGGTGTTGTGGCATGGTCACCATGGTCTTGTCTTTCGCATCTGGCTGTGTCAACGCTCACCATCTGGCTGAGAGGCTATAGCCATAGCCCAGCAGGTCGATGGAAAAAAACACGAAAGCCAGCTTTCGCCAAGGCCGGCATGTTCTGTCGCCAATGATCAGCGTTTACAAACCTCATGGCGCCAAAGATTGCTTGGCAACAGGATAGACAAGATAGGCATGGTGAACTGTCGGAATGCTTCATGATGCTTCCAACAAAAGAAGTTCAACGAAAGGTCTGGCCAGCTAGCAAACACACTGCCGCCTTTTGCGCAAAAGGAACTCTTACTCGCAGCTGCCCTGTTCCCGCATTCGAGGTGGTCATCGCTTTGAGGTCCTCTGGTTCAAGACCATGGTTTCTGGCAAACATAAGATTCCAAGGCACAAGCCATGGACCAAGAGGACGCTAGGTCCATCATTCTCCTCTCCAATGCTTTGATAGCGAATACCTTGGCAACAGAACTACCGCTGTCAGCTACAAATCGTGGCCTAAGTTGCTAGAGTTGAGCGCAAAAACATGACAGTACTCGGTAGCCTTTAAAGGCTTCCTCTGCTTGTTTCTGCTCTGACACATGGTGCCGGGCTTCAAACTTTTAAACATGACGGATGAAGGTCGTGCAACGAAACCGAAACTTGTATCAGCATGTTGGCTCAGTGGGAACACCGCGTGACTGTCAGACATTCCAAATTGTCTGAGCTGGCAAATGCAGCTAGAGCGGTCCAACATGGCAAATTTCCTAAACACAAAATCAAACGACATCCTGTTTAAGGTACAAGGTATTCAACATTGGGTACCTGGCAAGCTTTTGGCCAAGGTCAAGAACCCCAAATCAGGTCCCACGATTTGCATGACGACACCACATTTAGAGGGTACCTGCTGGTCCTGGAAAAGTGGCTACCGGTTCGTTTGTAGGGATGGCCGAAGCCAGATTGCGCAGTTCAACTTCAAGCTCGAAGACCAATGATCATGTGAGCCTTTGCCATGTCCCATCCACAAAGAGCAAAGTATCGTAGTTATGGAAATAACGGGGCAGCGCAAATTGAAGATGACACATGAAGCATTCAATCGGAACACGTCCACTTCCAGATTTGCCTTGGTAAGTGAACGCTTGTCACTTGCCGCCAGGAAGGAGACCCAAAGAGAACAAAAAAAAGACGTGCGTTTCCAATATAAGAAGCCCCTCGTCGTCCCCAAACACCAATGGCATTTGGGGAAAAACGAGCCATCTCAAATGATCAACCGCTCGTAAAGTTGAGCCTTCGCTTTCGAGAGTTTCCCGTCCGATCTTTTCTTTGGAGAGAAGGCTTTGCATGAAATGTAGGAGTGAAATCTAGCACATTCAGCAAGTGCTTCTCACAGAGTGAGGTTCTTAAACTCCAACAAAAACCTTCCCTGGATTCCAGGGGTTAAGTACCTAAGGTTTCTCTTGTGCGCCAACAAACTCAAGGCGGATGTGGCTAGTGGATAAGACTCCGGCATAGTCCCGGCAGTTTGGTGACATGTCTTGCTGATCCACCAGACCAATGATCCAAGAGCTCTTTTTGCTGATCATGATCTTGCTGACATCAGGCTCTCCTCAGACCTCTTCTGCGAACAGCTACGTCGAATCATAGACGGCTCTTTCCTAACAGCGGAGCCAGTGCCTAGTGAAAATCAGACTGGAAGACTGATTGGAAGGCTTCTACAGCTTTCTGGTCATTCTTGATTGCAAAAACTACCTCAGAAAAGCAGCCACAATGCAAGTCCAACGCTTGTTTAAATGCTTCAGCGACCAACTGTGGCGGGTGCTTTCTAACGCCACAGCCCCAAGCACCCAGCACCAGGCTGCCATGTTCGTGGTGCTTGCAGATCTGAATAATCCCATGTATGCGAGATTGTAGATCCTAGGTCTTTATTCGGGTTGGTGGAATGCTTCAAGGGCGGAGAACTGCAACAATTTCTATCTATAGACTAAAATAGACGCAAGGTTGTCTTGAGAGCCTGAGTGCAGCAGGGCAGCTTGGAATTCTGCCGATTCATTCTCTCCGGCCCAAGTGCTTGGAGCTGCAGCGAGAACAGCAATTCCAAATGGCCGCGGCAATGGCATTTTTTCGCCCTGGAGCCGGAACACCATGACGCCTGGCACATACAGAGCAACGTCCCGTTCGATGGGGAAGGACTTTTCCGCGACGACTTGCCAGGTAGTGTTTTTGCAAAGTTCGCCCAGCAAGGTGGGTGCAGCCGGACCGTTGGCACCGCCAGAGCGTTCCAGGCTACAGCCACACAACCTGAGATTGTCGGAAGCTTCTTGTAAAGACTGTTCAGTTCAAGCTAGCTGTGGCTAAGTGGTCCACTTGCCTTACTACTGGGATTCTTGAGCTTTCCTCTTGAACTGCAAAGAAAATGAGCGTTGGACAAACATCTATAGTATAATATACACCACTTAACAAATTCAACAAAATCCAACATTTTCACACAATATATTAACTATATATACACTATAGGTTTGTTCATTTAAGGGCAGAGCAACACGAGTGGTTGACTAGGAGGATGTTGACGTGGTGCATCACGTGTCAAGCGTTCGGCAGCGAGAAGACAGTCTTCAGGGACCACTTTGTAAGAACAGGAATCACAGTGCAAGGGTGATAAATGCCCTTGACCAAGCTTCGGCATCTGAAAGATTTTGTGCAGCCTTGGCTCTGGCCGCGGAAACTTTTCTGCAACCTCGACTGCTTTCTTCGACGGCGTTCCTTCCCAACACTGCCAGCAATAGTCACAGTAGAATTGCCCAATCTCATCATGGCGTGCTCCTGGATCTTCGGCGCCACATTGACGGCAGTACTGGAGCTCTGCTGCCTGTTCCAACACCTGCACCGTGTTCTCTTCCAGGTCCAAAGCCGCATCAACCAATGCCCCAAAAATTGTAGGCACACTGGCAGAGGCCGATGAAGGTAGGTTTGCTTGACTGTGCGTCAAGGGTAAGGCGGTCTCCAGCGATGACATCAGCTTCAGTACTTTGTGACGCGCTTCATTCTCCAGGCAGCGGAAGAAAGTGCACAAATTCTGGTGGAATCTATTGGTGTCATCACACGGCTGGCTTGGTCTTGAAACAAGAGACTGATACTATTGATAGGACTTGATAACAAACCGACACGAGGAATCAAAGTGTTCTTGGTGAACTGCTGCGTGCAATGATTGCTTTCGGAAAAGGAGCTTCACGCCGGCACATCGGGCACGTGATCCGACAGGTCAGGTCCGGTTTTTGCTTGGCAGATCCGACCATTCGCAAAACGGTGACCACAGTAGGCAACAAGGTGTGGCTTAAAAAACAGTGTCGTACAACTAATATCAACTAATTAGACTCCTTTGAATTCCGCCAAGCATTCCCCGCTTTGAATTCCTTCACATGGAAAATGCTTGAACGGTCCCCTGAAAAGGACGGTCCAACTGCTCCACAGTCCAATGGATGCGTGGGTTGGCGTGACAAAACTCTCCCAAGCCTGACCAAGCTCTAAGAATGCCCCGCTGAAATGTATGCAGAGTCGAGAAAGTTGACTGGGTCCTATACTAATTATACCATCATGTAGGATGAAGCCAAATGAAACCCACCCAAATTGAAGATTGGGAGTGAGGTTCATCCCCTTGAGTGGTACGAGGCTTCTAGCAGGACGAGAACTATTACAGTAAGCCGAACATACACAGCATCCAAACATCATCCACCACATTCGTCACAGTGACAACGGTCGTCCAACAAAAATATATCCCATGACGTGCTTGCCACAAGACGCTGCCCACGCCACTGCCAGATTTGATTCTGGATGCCCTGCGGATTGGTCTTCGGGATGCCTTCTGCCTCACACGGACCAAAAGGACTTCAAGGGACTTCAAGGATCATTCCTCAAGTGCAAACCGAGTCCTAGTAGCGTCCTAGTAGCATCCTTGCTCCTAGTAGCGATGCCAGGAGCCCCTAGGCCCTAGTAGCTTCTTGTTTCTAGTAAGGCCAGGAGCCCCGTTCGTAGCGTCCGAACGCTCCTAGTTGGAACAGAATCCCCTAACATCCCCAACGCGCCTCCAAAGTCGCACCTCCAGATTCCGGTAGTGCATCAAGGCGAGTTCGGTTGCGTGTTGGGCGAAAGGGGCTCGAGACGAAGGTGACCTTGAACAACGAGCCGAAGAAGAGGGCCTCAGCAACGGTGCTGTTGGATGTGGTGTGCCATGACACAAACGTATGCCACACAATGCGTGCACATGTACACAAAACGACTGAACCAGCTTTGTCCCACTGTCATCTTTCAAACCCTTAAACCTTGGGCAATCCAACAAACGGACAGGCGGTAGAAGTTCCTCCAAACTGAGTTTCGGTGAACAGCCGCCGAAGATTGCGGACGCCAGCCATCGCGTCTTGCGAGGGAAAATCACCGGCGAGACGCGAAACGCTTGAGATGCCGCCTTGGAAGAGTCGTAGAAGTTGAATCACGACACTTCCACATGGATAATCTGGTGATATCTGGTGTTGGTTCTTGCTGCTCAGTTGACTGCAATGAATTAGCTTTCAAGAATGGCAACAACATGTGAACGCGACTGCCATGAGCGAGGAGGCGAAAACAGCTGCTGTGAGTCGTGTCACTGTCGGCCGAGCGAGGACAAAGCACACTGCAAGCTGAGCATGTCTGTTGTTCGATGAATCGCGTTTCGACGAAAGGACACAGGGCTATATAACTGCCATAGTCTTGGGCAAATAAATTTCGTGTTTGCCATGTAACAAAGCAAGAATGCACATCAAGTTCTACCAGAAAAGTGAACATGAAGGGGCGATCACCCTTTCTCTCATGCAAAGTCAGGGCTTAGGGGCCTTCGTCAGCCACCCTGGAAGGTCTTTGTTGTTGGCTGGAGCAAAAGGTTTCTGACACACCAAGGTCCTTTGTCACCATGGATTTCAGCATTTCGTAGGTGGACACAGTTGTACAAACCACGTCACCAGACTTATGAAACAGTTGGCCCAAAGAAGGCTGGCAGCTCTAGAGACGGGTTGACCCAGCCACCTTTTAGCTCCAGGCCACACTTGCATTCAGTTCAGAATTCATGCTCAAGCGTGCCTAACCACTACAGCAAGTCCAGGCCACACTATATTCAAGATGCCTAGTGGATCTAGAAACATGAATCATGTCTTCAGAATTCAACACCAAGTATTTCCACTCTCACAGCTCTTCTGATTGCCTGAAGACCAAACGGCTCTGAGTCGAGTCCCTGAAACGCAAGGGAAGTAAAACTGGTTGGATAAGCAGTCCATGAGCGCCTCATGTTGTGCCAGCTCGTCTCCCCACATGCCATTTCATAAGGCTTCGTGGCCAAAACGACACGCACACAAAGCTGGTTCCCCAAGTAAGTACCCCATGTGTTTCCCCCATGCAGCCCACATCATTGTCGGTTCCACAGGTCCTGTTCTGAATCAGTCGCGCACACTTAAGATGTTGCTTGCAGGTGAAACACATGCACATGTCACATACATGCCCCTTTCAAAGCCTGTTGAAGATCCGACCAGCAACAGAGACCAGAAGCTTCTCCCATTCTCGCTCTGATCTTGGAGCGACGTACCTGCAGGGCAAGCATAGAAGAGCACGCGTGGTTGCTGGTGCAGGAAGTCAATGGACATGGCGCACTCCTCCTGCTTCACACCGTTCTTCGAAGCGAGTTTTTGCATGAAGTCCTGCTACAAGAGCACTTACAAGAGCTTGCTTGAGTTATTCACAGAACTCTATTGAATCGACTATATAATGTATTGCATAGACTGATATATATATATATATATTGACCCTGGTATGCGATCTGCCAAGCTGCACTGCAAGGTCGAAGGGGTGGAGAGGACATGGAACCAAGTAGCCACCACCAGCGTGCCTCGAGTGTAAGCTTGTCTGAAGCCTGGCAGGACTCGCGCGTGTCACAGTATCGATGACCAAATGCTTTTCTAGTATAACAACCACAATCATCCACAATCCTTTTGCCAGTAATTAGCCTTTCACTCAAACCTCAAGGATCAAAGTGCCTTGTCGGCTGCAGGTTTGGGTTTCTCTTTCTTCTCCTTCGGCTTCCTGCCAGTCCAGTGCACCATGCCAAACAGCTACAGCGGCCAGCAAAACATTTCAAAGACCTCATAACCATAAGTCGTCGCAGCAGAAACAGAACAACCGCGACAACCGAACAACCGTTCCAGCATCAACATGGCTTGGGAGGTCTCCCAAAAGCAGCAACTCCAGCTTGGGAGAGGTCGGGAATCACTTGCGGAAACACTTGCGGACTCCGCGCGATCTCTCCACGTTTCATGATTTTCAGCGCTGGCATCCGGCGACTCAGCCGCCAGACTGGTCACAGATCTCTGTGCGGTCTTATGGCCGCCACACATCGATCTTTGCAAACATCAGTCTGAGTCTGATGACATTAACTAGCGCAAAAACAAGAGAGACAAACAAAGACTCGTCTTTGGGTGTTTGAACAATCATTTGAACAATCATGAGCTAACTAATACACATAACTGTCATGCTTCATGCCGTCGCTGCCGAGACACGCTCTCACTTTGCCTAGCGTCGCCTAGCGCAAGCCCACTCGCCGGACTTTGGAGCGGGCCTGCTTCCTAGGTCCGCTTTGGAGTGTTCGCGGCTGAATGGTGCCCGCATGCGCCAAACAAGCACTCTAGTTGAGAATCACAGAAATGTGAATCACAACAAATTATCTTTCATCAAAGGCATTGTCAAATGGGTACCATCAACTGAAATCTCAAGAAGGCTTCAGCTGCCCAGCTGTGTGACCGTCTGTGACATTCCACCGGGCATCCGGGCTTCTTCTTGGCCTCTCTGGCGTTCTTCAACTTCTGTTCACGGGCCCGCGCCTTCATGCCCTGCCACAGGGAAATACCAGGGATTACAGTATATAACTAGTCGGATTAGTGATTAGTGCTATGGAAGCATCACCAGTCGAGTGAAGCACCACCATGTCGGGTGGATGTCTCGCCTTCCCAGTCCCGCCTTCACCACACCTTTCTTGGCACCTTGAACCACTCGGGCAAAGGTTTCGGTGGCTTTGGTCTTGAACTTTTCTTTGGTCACCTGCTCACGAGCAAAAGAGCTTCAGTCACCGAAATGGAGTAAACATGGGCCACCGATCAGGTCCGACTAGTCGGTGCAGAGCTCGGCCTTGGGGTTCAGGCGCACGTACGCGAAAGGTTCCAGCTTGGATCCCTGGCAGCATCAAGGTGGATTAGCACCGTTGATTCACAGGCTGCAGAAGCGAATATATACATAATATATCAGCATATTATAATTATGATTATAGATGTCTCAAACAGCAGTTCTAGTATTGCTAAAGATATTTTAGGAGTCCTTTAAGCATGCGAGGCACTGGAAGCTCAGCTACCTCCCCCAGCTGCAACCCTCTTGAACAATGAGTCACCTAGCGAGCTGACTAAGTGGCCAGAGAGGGCCTGGGGCCTGGGACCAACAACACGGCGGTGGCTGTGGGTGGCCGTGAAACTCGCCGCTCTAACGAAATGGAACGGCTAAGAATTTTAGAACGAAACGGAACGACTCAAACGAAGAATGCAAAGAGAACCACCAAGCCTTCCGCTTGGCATCACCTTGCGCCTTCTTCCTTCCAGGCTTGTAGGTATCCTGGGTGCACATAGATGCATTCGTCATCATTGGTCCAGCAACCCGAGGATGCAGATTGAACGATTGATGAATGTTATGTCCGTTTTCTTTTTTGGACGGCCAGCATCATCCTGCTAGGGTTGAAAACCACGAGACTTCCGACTTGTCTGGAATCTGTTCAAACAAACATACCCTGTGTACCACCGTATGTAATAATCTCTCTGCTGAAGTACCACAGCGACCTGAGGCTAGGCTTCTCACCAAGCCCTTGATCAAATGCACACCCTTCCTGGAGAATGACAGTGACCAAAGCTTCTTAAGCATGCAAACTGGCCGCTTTGGCCTGGTAATGACAGAGGCAAAGCAAGCGATCTGTGGCCACTGTGGACATCACAAACATCAGTTGTCCAGCCTTGCTGCCTTTGCTTTCGCCCGCGCCTGCAACAAGCACAACGAAAGACTTAGGCTCAGTCAGGGATTCCCAGTGACTTAGCAAAAACAGAAGAGCTAATCATTTTGAGAGTGACTGGTGTCGCCAATGTCAAGAAACCACAAGCTGTCATCTACCATGTAATGAGCTTCTGTCGTCCCTTGATGTGCATGGACTTCGTACTTGCAGGCCAAACAACACTTCAATCAGCCCTGAAGATGTCAAGGGTTTGCACAGCCAAAGAGGAAGCTTTTGAGAACACCGACACTTCTATGCAAAAGCACTGTCGCCTCTGCACGAGCTTTCCTCTGAGATGCAAGTTGTGAAAGCCTGAGACTGTTGGCAATCAGTCACAGTCACAAGACAATCAAGACAGATGTCTGAGTTCATGCAAGTTTGGATTAATCATAAAAGTACTCCAACATTGTCTTCGACATGTCTTAAACACACACACACAAACACATGACACATGGCTTTTCCAGTGGGTTTTGACATGAGCCAAAACCATCGCCATCTTCCTGTCGTGTCCTCCAGCTAGTCACTGGGCAGACCGGGCGCTTTAGGCTTTTCGGCACCGTGGCTGAAGGCCTGGGGCTGATCCTCCTTCACCTGGCTCCGAGGAACTCCGTGGAACTGCGTGGAATTTCTTGTTCCTAGTAGCAAGGCCAGGAGCCCCGTTCGTGGCGTCGTTGCTCCGTTCGTAGCGATGCCCTTTGCTCCGTTCGTAGCGTCTTGGTTGGAAAGGAAACCAAAGAAATTACAAACGTCAAGCTCTGCACCTGGCTTCGCATCTATGGGCGAAGACCGGCGGGTCGACATGAAAGGTGAACCAGCGAGGACTCCGTGGACCCCCATGACTGCGAGATTGAGCTCGGGTTGGGCAAGCAGTGCTTGCTAAACTTAAGATATGAATTCATGCATTCATCGCCAGAAATGATGGGTTCTTGCTTTTCCAATGTTTTCCCTGCTAAGCCACTAAGTTCCTGATGTTCATTCGTCACGGCAATCAAGTTAATCTCTGCCACGAAGCTGATACCAACCTCGCCTTCGAGTACATTTATCTGCTTCTTCATTCTATTAAAAGGAAACATTGAACTGTGTGTATCAAAGAAGCAGTGCAAAGGTGAAGAACCAATTGACATCCAGGAGTGAACCGAGGCGTCATGTTCAAAACACATTTAATCATATTTCTGAACCCATTCTGGATCCTTAACTCTTCGTCCCAACAGAACCCCTCACCATCAACCCATATCAACTCCCCAAAACACGCCGATTGAAAGACCTCCGCTGTCTCATCCACCACCAAACGCCCGTCCACCGCGAAGCGGAGACCGTTGCGGCGCAAGGCGTCCACCTCGGAGCGCGCGCAGCGGTTTCTGCCGGTGCAAGGACAGCGGAATTCATGGACGGCCTCCAACCTACTAGCAATGGCCTCCAACCTGGGAGCCCACTTTCATGACTAAAAAGTTGGAAGCCAACCTAACGAACGTGGATTCCAAAGATTTGGATGGTCTAGAGTCCAATGATAGTACTCAAGAAAGCCACTCTCCTTTCGACCAACGATCGTGATCTGGCTTCGGCACTGCAAGAACCAGTCTAGGGACTTGATGTCACAGGGAGTTGACCATTTTGGTACCAAGCGCATGATTGGCAGAAACGATCAACTTTGGATGCCCAAATTGCCACTATGGCTCAAAACGCCTGGTAATTGGCAATTGGAAAGCAACTATCACAACTCGGTCATTGTTTCTCTGTCATACTTACGTTGGCGCGACAATCGCTGTGGTCCACCTGCAACCCAATCCTGCCGCCTACAGGCTTGGCGATTCCTATACTGATACAAGTCCTCTTTGCTCTTGTCTCTTGATTGCTTCGGCTGGCCTATGTGAACGCCATTTTGGTGAACCCATCAAACCATAAACCATCAATTAATTGAATACCTGACCCCACTCCTCGCCTGATTCTCAGCTCCTGCCGAGCCCACCTTGGAAGTCATCGACTCATCAATGACAATGACTTGAGCAGCTTTTTCTCGGAAGCCCCCAGCATTCTAGTGATTCTAGTGGCATGGTGTGAGACTTTCTCAAGTGCTTGGTCACTCCCCACATCCTTGGCCACCTTTGTAGGCTCTTGATATCAACAGCAGATCGCCTGCGTGCCCCTGATCCTCTTCGAGGGAGGTGCCCGCACAGTGAGCACCTCAGTCACAAGACGCTTTGAGTCAGGTCGACGCAGCATGTCGACTATGCCTACTCATGTTGATGTTCGTTGAAACCCTGCATGTTCCCATTATGTTTTCCGGGGACACCAGCAGGCAACAAAGAATGGATGCTAGCATCCAGGCCCCTCAAGCTTTGTATACAGTGACAGCAAGGGGAGATAAGGGGAGCCTTCTTAGTCAGCATCTGCTGACTTTGATGCCTTTAACATTGACGTTGCCATACTCTTCGCGTCAAGCGCTGAGATTTTGGCTGAATGGGCTGCATCGGCGGACATGAAATCAATGGGCACATCTCCATCTTCTTGGATCCAGGTGGACGCCTGGATCTGAAGCATGGATCACCAAAAAGGTTGAGAAACTCCCTTGGCAATCTTTGGAAGTCCTGTGAAATCCAGGCTAGGCCCTACGCGGCTAGGCTGTACAACTGTCCGTTGCACATGTTGTGTGATGGATGGCTCTTCCGCAGACTTGGGGCAGCACTGCAACCTCAGTGCGCTTCCGCTTGCCTTGCTTGCCCCTGCCACGGCCCTGACAAACTGCAAGCCCAGCAAGTGCAGCATACAAAGGGGATCAGTAGGAATTTCCGTCTGAACATGGCACCTGGTGATCCTCTTCGTCGGATTCGGCCTCCCAAGCATCCAACAGTGCCTGCCATGACAAAGGGCGAGAAGAACAATTGATCAGTTTGGTCCTCAAGTGCAGGATGCAAGCTAATGCAAGGCATGCCAAGTCCCTACCTGTACGGCATTGTGTGCCATCACGGACTCTGTCGGGGGCTCATTCTTGTCACCTGAAAGGTTTTCGGCACAAGCACCTGCTAAATTCCTGCAAGGGTACAATTAAAAAACAGTTATATATAATATATCGATGCAGCCTCTTCTGGCTTCAGCTCTTAAGGTGTCAGCTTCACTCACAGGAGGGTCTCAAGGCAAGAGGAGGAGACTGAAGAAAGGGTCCAATACATGCTATCAACTCTCTGTATATATATATATGTAATGTTGGAAGGACATCATAGCTCCAATGTAGCTCCAGTCAAAAGAACGCATAGTCTCACAGTAGCTCTACAAACCTACTGAAGGGTACCATCTCCTGAGTTGCCCAAAATAGAGTACTGTAAGACATCTGACAGATTCGAACAGTCTGTTCAACAGGTCTTCCAGAAGACAGCCTCCTCTGCCGCGTTTCTTGGCCTGGCTTGGGAATTGGAATGGAAGGAAGCTCATCGCCGTTCTAGCTGATTCTAGCTCTGACCTATCAATGAAGAAGGAATTCATTGAAACCCACAGATCCTGGGCTGCATGGGATTGGGAATCAAACAAGGCAACACTCACACTGCCGCTGCCTTCTCACCGCCCTCCGGAGCCATTTTGGCATCACCATCCGCGTCGGCCAAGTCAGCCTTCGCTCTGCAAGAAAGCTCCACAGGAAAAACATGGAAAAACACACTCATAACTTTCATCCAGGTCCATCATCAATTCTCTCTCAGATCTCCTCATCCACACCAAAGCCAGAGTGCATTGCAGGTTTTAACATAGCTCTGGTCCCACTCTTTCTGAACGAACATGCCGCAAATGGTCCAAACAGCACTCTCACTTCACCACATGATCCCACATCTGCAGGTGAACATTTTTCTCTTCTCTCAGACTCTCAGGCTAGACAAATTAATCGTATGGAGTTAGATCCGTAAAGTCTTGTCCATTTGAACGATCTTTTTGAAACATGGACAGACTTCCACACAACACCGTTGCCTCTGCCTCGTCACCGGCCTGGCTCAAGAGAGGAACTGGGATCAGTTCCGTTCAACATGTCCATCTGCCTGACTCAACCTTCTACATTGGTGCTACTTGCAAAAGGCAAGTGGGATCGGTGAGACTGCTGGCAGATGCTGGCAGGTCCCAGGTGTATGTTAGACAACATGAACAAAAGGACTGGCATCTGCCCCAGAATGATCATACTGGCTATTGCGGCAATATCATGCCATCCTGAGGTTGTTGGGGTGAAGGTGCCAAAGTCCAAACATCTGTGCAACTCGGTGAGTTGCAACCCCAAGCAACATCTAGTAAACATGCATAAAACAATTAATCCTCACAAAATAAACTTGGCTCTCACTCATGTTCCATGACCTGCCTTGAAGCTGTCCCAGGTCTCGGCTTCGGGCGCTTTCTTGTTGCGCGCTTTGGCCTGGCGGCACGCCCGGAGGAATGGCTCACTCCACCGACCAACACCCCCACCCCCGCAAATCCTCTTGGGCACATTCGAGTCAAGGCGGAAGCTTCCCAAACACAGGTCGCGAAGGTCTCGAAGGTCTCGGCATGTCTCCACACTCCTTCCGAACGCTCCGACTCTCCGCACCTGGCGACCGTCTGGAGCCTCGGCGTCGTCCCAGTCATCGGCCTCATAGACCTCCACAGCCAAGGGCCAAAAAAACCCAATGGTGAGCTCTAATTCCAGCTGAAAATGCAAGAAACATGTCAAGCTTATCTTATAAGATCCAGCGCCAAGATTTGTTATCTTCAAATAACAATTTGTCAATGTCATCATAGGGGCTGCCGACTCTGCCGACTGCCCACCCTCCGACCTCAAAAAAAAAGTTTTCTCGGCTGGGCCTATATGTAATCTTATGCAAATATCGACTCTCCGATGACTCTTCGACTGTCCGATGGTCATCGTCTCAAGAGTCGATTGATATCAACTCGTTCCTCTTCGGTGTGATCGGTGCCTTTTCGCGCACCGTCTTGGGGCGGCCTTTCCTAGCGAAAGCGACCACAAGATGGCGTGGGTCGGCCTAAATTCGCTGGAAGAAGTGCCGTGGGTCCATGAGACTAAAGATTTGACGGTGGAGATATTGAATGAGAAAACTACGTTGTGGATTTGATTTGCAATATTGATCTTAGAAGTTTGAGTGAGAAAAGGTCAGCAACTGCCCCACTTCTCCAGCCTTGCAAGCTGTTTCTGCACATGGCGCAGCAGTGGCTGGTGTGCCTGTGGGATGGGTCTGAACTACAGCCGAAACTGTCACGTATAAAAGCAAAGCTTCTGTGTTGGGGCTTGTGAAGTGCCGGTGGTTCAAACTAGCAATCTCTTCTTGTGACCAGCCCTGTGACAAGTCTTCTCGAAAGGTGACACACACACACACACACTCATACATTGCAAATCAATGCATCGCTGGCCTTGGGAAAGGACTCCTCCAGAACTTCTTCTGGTAGGATCTGTAGCAGCATTGCAACTTGGGCTCACTGGATTCCAACAGTCGAGCCATTGCATGACAGTTCAGAATATCATGATGAAACATGATGAATGTATCTAGTGTCAGCTTGCGGGTTGTGTGGATAGATTGATAGACACTTCAATATGGTCGAGCAGGGCAACCCATCTATGCTATGAGAGTTCTAGCAGAAGTTCGAAGAGCTATCATTGAAGCTTTGCAAATATTAAGAACTTTAGTAATGACTGGTACACATAATGGACGCTCGGAGGGTAAGGAGGTGTGTCAGTGCCCGGAAACCAAAAAGGGCGTTGGAGCTGAATCCGAGCCCATGTGCGGAGTCAACCAACCTCCGGCTTGCCTTCACCAGCCGCTCCACAATGCTTCGGACCAACATCTTGGCAGATGCCAGGTGCCGGCTTTCAAACAACCTCCCACCCGGCAAAGAAACGTCATACAAGGCGGGTATTGCAGGATGAAATCATAGGCCCTCTCCGTTGCTGGTGCTGATGAAACGACAAAGTCTACCTAGGCTCGGCTTGCATGCTTCCTCAGCAGTGAACATACTTTGCGATTACACAACCTGCAGCCAACTGTTGCTCCAAGAAACCATTCTTTACCTGTGCCTATACACTGCAAATGGTGTTCCTCCTTTTTTTGACGGATGCTGGCATGCTCTCTACGCTTTCTGCCGAAAAACACATCTGGTCGCACCGCACCTCAAGATCTTGGGCAGGAGGTCAAGCAGCCCTTCCTGGCCCGTTCTGCACGAAGAACTGTTCAGCACGTCGTCCGTTCGCAGCAATCCCGTCCCGCTAGGCCCGGCAATATGAGTATCCACATGGCAATGCGGGCCTTTCACCAACAAACGGCACCGAGTGAAAACTAACGGTTCCTTTCTGAAATCAATATGTCTCGAATGTCTCAGGCCTTTGGAACGACGAAGACCACCACTTTCGTGAACTTCAACACTGCGCGCCAAACCTGCAAAATGAGCTTCAAGCTTTTGAAGCAACAGGCAATACATGAAGCTCAGCTCGGATTGCTGCGTTCGAGTCAGCAGCCGTGGAAAGAAAGCAAGGCAGAATGGTTTGGAGGCCTGACTGCCTTGACTGCCTCTAAGAACATCCAAGACAGAAGGGACAAACTATTGAGATCTATTGAGTCTGCTAACTTCTATCGTCTCCCTGTCTTCCTTTACTGATTCCGGCAGGGCGGGCAACACTTTGTTGATATAGCACATGTCCCTTGGCCAACAGCTCATTTGCGGCACCTGCGCATCACGATCTTCCAGCAACAGAAGCACCACCTGAAGTGGAGACCATGCCAACTGAAACCTCCTAGTCCTAGCACTATTCGTAGAAGTTGGATCCTTTTTTACTGAGCACAGCGTATACGTTTGGTGTGTTCGCCTGTCACAATGGCAACACAAATCGGACAATAGACATTAACAGAAAACACTGTGATGTGGAAAAAAAGGTCTGTGCACGGAGGACACAGCTTCAATGACTGGGTGGCTGCGCAGGCTGCACAGGAGACTCAGTGTCCGCACATTGATGAGACGGCTCCGCAAATCGGGTGCCTCAAACAAATTAAGGATTCAATTTCAATACCTCACACCCCTTTACCAGAAGAAACGCACTCAGGATCCAGCCATCTTGCTATGGTGTTCGTAGAGCAAGCGGCTAAGCCTCGTCAATGTTCGACGGACAATGGTTAGACTTTATCTGCTCCAGCACTTAGAAAGCTGGTTTAACCTGCCAGTGTCTGTGCAAGTGTCTCCGATCGAGTCCATCAACAAGGGCACAAACAACAGGCCCTCAAGATCGCACACTTTCACAGTCATCTGACTCATCCTTCACATGGCTGCAACATTGCATGGCCAATTAGAGACAGCATTTGGTGCATGGCCTGCAACGGAAGACGTGATTTCTGCGCCGGGCTGCCGGACGCATCCAAGGCGGCCGCCTTCGCATGGCGGCTCAAGCCCGCCAGGCCAGCAGAGACCAAGGTGACGATCTCAGCCTGTAAGTCCTGTTTGTGGACAAAGGACGTTGAAAACCGAGCTGAACACCCACACTTTAAGATAATAGGGCAGCTGAATCCAAGAGTAAATGTGGATGGTGTGGAGAGGCTTTTAAGCTTTTCCTTTCCAATGCTTGCTCTTGATCCAAACAAACTCATGGCAACGCAGGGACCATCCAACATTTGAAGTCCAATAATCTATTTTTGAGCAAATTACACACTTCAAGACAAGCCCAACCCTCTTCCTGATGTATCGCAGTGGTGGCTGCCAAGTGCAAAGACTCTCGGGCTGCCTCCCGAACAGCAGTGCTCTGGTCACGCCTCAGGCGAGGCACATGAACTGGGGTGTGCGGCTTTTGAGCTTGGTTTTGCTTGGTCCTTCCTTACATTGATGAAGCTGCTAAAGACACTAGAACTGGAAGAACCCAATCAGGTCATTTGGGAGGATCCTCGTCCTACATAAGCTAAAGCTAATTGAACTCAGGTTGCCTCTGGCAACTTACATTCTTTCGCCCACGTTCTGGAATGTTCACCGTTGCATTTCAGGTCTTTCGTGCATGGATCTGATCTTGAGCCTCCCTTGGATGATGTCAGTTGGGCAGTGGGCAAACCAAAGTGCAAGTGAGCTTGAAACCAAACGTCAAGTTTGCTCACAATAGCTTGGTTTGAGCAAGTTCGAGATGAGGGTGGCAAGTCAAACCTTTCCGTGCCAGATCTCGCGATTGGTCCCTGGCAAGTGAAAGAGCACTTCAGGGATGATCGTCGTCAGACATTGCAAATACTCCTGCGGAGCCACAGAAGTGAAGAAGGCACAAATCTCACACATGACAGGAAGTTGAAGTGATAATGAGGGAAGGATGGAGAGGCACTTGGAAGGTCACCTGCTTCACTTGGAGGTCACATTCCGCGGTTCAATCACTTCAAAAGGCCACTTCAACCATTTCTGCTGGCAAGGCCTCGAGAAAGTGGAAAACAGTGGAACATGTAACACGTACTACATTCGAAGTTGGGGAATCAAGCCCTTCAAAGCGCCTCATGGTTAAATTAGTGAAAACAAAGCACCTCACAAAAAAAAATCCAAAGACCCAGCTCCAGCCCCTGCCCTCCCAACCAAGCGCTAAACAAGACTCCGCCTCTCTCACCTTGGCCTCTGTGCATCGAGGTCCCAAGCCTCGGGATTCCGACGGTCGGACCAGGGGGTCGGGGCAAGTCGGAAAGTCCTCACAGCTCATAGAAACAATGTTCGCAATTAGAAACAAGTGCGTCGCTACTAGTAACAAGTGCCTTACTAGTAGTAACAAGAAGCTACTAGTTGATTTAATTGAAACATAATTCTAAAAGCTTTTTGTTACTACTAGTAAGGCACTTGTTACTAGTAGCAATGCCCTTGTTACTAGTAGCGATGCCTTCAATAGCTATTCATAGCTGGAAAATAGCTCGCAGCCTTCCATAGCTCAGGGAAGTCTTGAGGGTCATCACACCCGCTGGCTCATTCTCTGGCTTGCGGCGTGACACCACATGTTTGTCCCCTGAGCCCGGGACTTGATTCAAGAAGGGACAGCAATGCCTCCAGTGGATCGAACAGCTTCTTCAACGCATTCCGCTGCAGCGGGCGTGTCAGCAAGCCGCGCATCATGCAGTTTCAAATGTGTTTTCCACTTGAAACATCTCTCATCTTCATGTACTGTAACTTAGTGTTTTCTTGTGAACAACTGAGCCTATGATGCATCCTGAATGTCAACCAAAGAGTCCCCTGCCTGCAGGCATAACAACCGGGCTTTCAGCGCCGTGCAGGTCTGCCTGGCCTCCTTGTGGGGCCGAACTGCTCATGGTGTTTTTTTTTTTCTCTCTCTCTCTCTCTGTCTGTCTGTCGGACATGCAGGTTGGCACACCATTGACCAACCACCTTTCACCGCATTGTCGAGTCTCCTTTCTATGCTTGCGGAACCCACCTGCTTGGGGCTAAGCTGTTCTGAACACGTACACTCAACCCCCGACAAATGTTAACCATATATATATATATATATAATGCATTATTTTGTGGGGGGTGGGGACAATCCAAGTTTGAGCAAGCTGTACTGGTCTCCATGCATACTCATGCATACGATGAATTACGGAGGTGCCTTCAATGTGGACCACAGCGAGGTGACCTTCAAAGCAATATCAATGTACTGGTTTTGACTGAATCGAAGCACAAAGTGGAATGGCACAGAAGTCAGCCAAATTGACCCTATGACTACACCAGAAACATCTGGAACTGAATGTCGCAGGGTACCTCTGGCACCTCAAAATCACTTCCTGCCGAGTTAACAGTTATATAATAACCTATTTTAACACTTCAGAGGGCCTCGGCAACTTGCCACTTCGAAGCAGCACCTTGATGTCGCATGACCTCAGCTCCCGAAACAATTTTGGCGATGAATAGGAACATGAAGCCCCAGACCAGGCATTTTTTTTTAATAAGCCCGCCCTTACTCAATGAAATAGGCATCTACTCAATTGAGGGCAGTGGACGCAGGATTGCTCACGCCTGAAGGGTAGGGAGCTTGAATGAAGAAGCCCTCGCACTGAGAGAAGCTGTTCACAGTGATGTGTAGAACCGGAATCGATCGGATTGGGATCTTGAAATTCAGATGACGCGGGACAGGACGTCACAGCATGTGTGGTGGACGAAAAAATGCTGACCATATTTTGGCTCAGCGCCGCGAGACAGGGAATGACATCTGCTTTATCCTAATCTCTCCTCCAACGCTTGTAGGAACAAGAAGCTACTAGGAGCAAAGGGCATCGCTACTAGGAGCAAGGACGCTACTAGGGGCTCCTGGCCTTACTAATTACTAGGAACAAGAAGCTACTAGGAGCAAAGGGCATGGCTACTAGGAGCACTGCAACCCTTCCTGCTACTTCACATCTCTTGGCTGCCCGTCTGCTGCGATGGCCCGATAGCCCGCTTTTTGCGCACTGGCCATGGCCTTATCCTGGATCTACAGTCCAAATCTCCAAGAGAATGCTTGGTGGACACGTTGTGATGCAGCACTGCAGCACATCGTTCTTTCCATGGCACAAATCACAAAACAGAGTGCCAATTCAAACCCTGCAAAGTCCGAAACATGGGACGCTAACGAGTCACAACGGCACTGCAGCAAGTTGACCCCAAGCCCCCAGCTATGCCCTGGTCTCTTACGAACGACCAACCCGCCTCACTTGCGCCCTTCAATGCTGGCGCAAAGACGCGAATGACCAACTCCAAATGCCTTGGCCAAGCGATCAGCGGAGAGTTGTATAATCTATTCCGACCGATCAAGAAGCGTTGAAAAGAATCTGTTTAGGGCGAAGAAGCGGAGTTCCAATCCCTCGTTCAGCTTTTCTTAAGTTGAGAATCTCCGAGCTTCCAGTTCAGCCTGAGCTTCCTCCCAGTGTTGAACAAAGTTGCACCACTGGACGTCTCCTTGGTCCTCCCACTCGGTGCCCAGGTAGGGGATCAAGGCCGTCGCGAGGTCGCCCAAGGCCGGCACTGCAACGGTGGAACAGCGACACGAAGAGCTGTGCCACAGCGACCCGATGCGTTTGGCTCCAAGCAAAGGGTGATGCTCTGAGATACAGCTCCCAAACTCCAGTTGCTATCACATGGACTCTCAAGAACTCTTTGTTGATGTTCGCTTCCCAAGACCAACACTTGCTTTGTGTCCATTGAAACTCAACCCCGGCCAACAAGCTCCCGGGTCCGGGCCATCACTTCCGCCGGTCTCCTCTCCAGTGGTGGCCTCCAACAGGATTGGGCAAGTTGGGCAGTGTTCATCATCGTTTTGAGGTTTGGAGAAGGCATCCGCCTGACACATGAAGTTGACCCCGAAACAATTTCACAGTCTGCCTTGAGCCACTTCGCTACAAGGGACTTGAAGATGGACCTTGGTCGGCTGGGAAGAGAAATTGGTAAAATGCTGCCACAGCATGCAAATCGATTATTTTGGCCGAGAAGCAGTTGAGCGCGAGTTGCGCACTCGGTTGCAAGAACTGGGGTTAATTAAGATACCAACATATACCAACATTACTCTCGCTTTGTTGCAATTGATTCATTGATCAAGTTCTTTCAAATCTTGCAACTGCTGAGCCCTACTACATCCCATCGCAGGATGTCTTCAGATACTGGAAATGCCTCTAGTCTTTTGCTATGTTTGCCAGCGGTTTAGGCACCGAAACCCTACGTAGTTGGCTTCTGCCAACTGGGCATAGCTGGCAATGGCCCCCAATGCCTCATGCAGATCTACTGGTATGACTTAGAAATGAGTGATCGACTATCAGCGTGATTGCTGGTGGCATGTTGCTACAGATTGCTAAAAGAGAACGAAGCTAATGACTTTCATATATTTATATAATAACTACAAATAGTGTATATCATGCAGAAAAACATCAATATATCCACTCTTATCTCTCCATACCATACTAGCCAACTGCAATGCTACCGCCACAGTCAGTGAGCGTGTTTACTCAGCCCCAGATCCTCGTCTCAAGCAATGTCCCACAGCTTACGAGCTTCAGATCTTTCAGGCTGTTGTAACAACCAACCTCGCAACGATGGACTCATTTGTCCTTTGCCTGTTGCCGGCTGAAGCTGACTCTCGATGGGTCCTTCGGATGGACCAATCGGAAGCATTGATCGATGATGACTGAGGCCGTGCTGAAGACTCCGCGCAGTGGAACCGCTTTGAGGTATTCTAAATCTGACAGCATTGCAGTCGAATTATTCATTTGTCTCGTTGGAAGACCCTGGTGGCATCTCACCTGTTCACAGTGGCGATCACACATCAAACGATCACAAGTGGCGCTCTCGTCAGCGGGCCTGCCCCTCCATTTCAGTGTGCATCTTGATGTAAACGTTGAGCATTTCAGGCAAAACCTCATCAGAAAGGCTTGCTCTTGCCGGGCCTTTCTCCCTAGAGACTCAAACACCCGAAGTTCATAAAAGAAAACACAACAGCAGCAAACATTCAAGAAATAGGTCATGCCCGCTACATATACCAGTATCTTGAACTGATGCTGTTGCCAAATCACATCCAATAAAAAGAATCAAATCGGAGATCAAACCCTTTGCTCATTACCCCGGTCCTAATCCTATCTTCATTCATTCTGAGGGAGCCACGCGCCCGGAGAGCGTTCGGAGGCAGGCCTCAATTCGGGGTTTTCTGTTGCACGTTTGGGCTGCCCTGACAAAGTCCCTGCCTGGTTGGACTCCTGCAATGTCTCGGAAAGCCTGCGGGGAAACCCACCAAGTGAAGACAGGCTACTCAAAGACCCGTTCATCTAAAGAATTGAAAGTTCATCAAAAACCTATTAAACACGTCGATCTTCTCCACACACTGAATAGTGCCAAAAGGTGTGTTCACTTATCCACCCGTGGAAAATTCTTTTCCTGCACCTTCACCTCAAAGTCAGCCTCATCTCATGCTCATCAAATGCAGCAAAGGAGAATTTGTCATAGAGTGATCAAACAACTGAATCCCCCTTGCTAGGTGCGCCCACAATCCTGGATGTCCCAAAGAAAATATCCTACTGGGCTTGCTTTGAACCTGCAGCTGGGCTCCAGGGTGGCGTCGCACAATCGCTTAAAGGCGGCCTTGGAAGCTTTAGAAGCTGATTCACACAGTCTGACAGTCTAACATGGGCTATGCTGCAAATTCGCTGACGTCAAACCAACATGTTTAACTTCATGACAGTTTAGAACGCAGTCTGCATTGCTGTTGAACATGGTATGCAAATGGAGCATGAGCAAGATGAGTAGCTGGGTACTGTCAGTCAGTCTGTGTCCACAGGAGAGATTGACTCACGTTGACCAAGTCTCACATCGCAGCCCTCTCGGTCCATGGCCCAAATGTAGTCTCGTAAAGTGCTATCATTTTGCAAGACCGCCACCTACAACGTAGGCAGTAGAAAGTAGAATCCAAGTAGAAGAAAGCAAATACATATATCAGTGGTCAGTTCATGTCAGTTCTGGTGAATCTCATCAACCAATTTCAAGCTTAGGATTCTACACATCTCAACAGCTTACAGTTTGAGCTAGTGGAGCCACTAATGTTTTCAGCCCCTGGCAAGCTGCTTCGCCAACTGGCCCCCGTTTGCCAGCAAAGCGCTCTGCATGTCAAGCCTGACTCGCAACGACATCTGCATTTTAATGCGTTCAAGGCCGATTGCCTTTCTCTGCTTCATGATGAGTAGATTTGCGTGATCATGATATCTACACGATGAGATTGACAAGAGATCAGTTCAATCACAGTCAGTCCAGGTCCAAGGCGGCTCAGTGCAAAAACCAGGTAGCAAAGCCCACACCTGCAAAGACCGTAAACATGTATATATATAGTATATAAACATACAGCATCTCAGAAACAAATTCATTCGTTCACTGTCGCAATAGGGTGCTAAAAATATTTGCAGTATCATCCTTTGTCCAGTTACTCTGACTCTACCGCGAAGTGCTCTGAAAGGATTCCTCTCTACTTGCTGTCTGCTGTACCGGCTCTACCTGCTTCCTGAGGCAGTTTTTCTTTGAGCTCCGTCTGCCTGCTCCAAGAGAGTCAAGTACTTCTTTTCCAGGACCTCAAAAACCATCTGAGCGGTGTCAAAAACAATCCGGATTGTTTTATTAAAACTATAAACCTTTCGCCAATCCCTTCGCAACGCTTTCGTGGCTGCATGTTTTGCTTTCGCCGACCCACTTCACCCAACACACTCTTTCGCTAACCCTTTCGCCGAATTTCTGCTACTTACATCTAAGAAAAGTATTATCAGCAAAGGGGAATCATTCCTAATCTGCATCCACTGCTTTCGCCACATCTTCGCGAGCCCTTCGCCTGGTTACAGTATCAGGAATCTTTGGATGACATGCTTTGTACTGAAAACCTCTTTCGCCAACCTTTTCGCAACACAATCCATTCATCAAAAAAACAAGATGGAACCCACGAACCCGAATGTAAACACGATCGAACAACTACATATGTCCAAATGACACTCTTGTAGGACACTCTTGTGGGACACTCTT